TGAAAGACAGCTATTCATTCAACGTGTCGGCTCGGGTCAAACTGGGCAATGGGCGACGATGCTTCGTCTGGACAGATTGTTGGGTGCAGGGCGCTGCTGTTGCGGAATTTGCTCCGGAACATCGACCTCTAAAAACAAAGCTTTTTCTTTGGTTGGTCGTCAGAGGGTGAGTCTGGACGGTGGATCGCCTTGCCAAGCGCATCTTGCCTCGTCAGGGCTCTTGCTGTTTCTGTCATAGTGCACAAGAATCAGTTCATCATCTGTTCATTGGGTGCACGGCCGTTCGGATTATCTGGAGTTCAGTGTTTCTTTGGGCCAATTTGAGCGAGGTCGTTCCTCAGGATAACTTGCTTCTACGTGATGGTTGCTCGACGCTAGATCGAGAACTCACGACACTAAGAGGAAATCTCTGAACTCTTTGGTGCACCTTATTATTTGGAGCATTTGGCGTGAGTGGAACAGCAGGGTTATGGATAGTCGCTTCTTGCCTTTACAAAGAGTCATTGATCAAGTCATAATTGACGCCAGGCAATGTGAGGTGGCGAGTCTGGGGCGTATGATCCTTCACTAATAGGCTACTAGCTGTGATCGTCACTGTTATTTTGCTTGGTTGTTGTTTGTTTGTTTGTTTTTGTATATGTTTTATTTAAGTTTTGTAGTTTTTGTCGAACTGGTCGTGTGTATACCTTTCCCTCTTTAATACGGAGTATAATACATGCAGCTCTCCTGCATGGTTCAAAAAAAAATTAACGAAGAAATACCTTGAATTACAAGCTGCACAATAAAAAACAGAATCGTGAACTTTGAGCGTGAACAGTGCTTAAAAGCCACATTTTTTTTGTAGCTCTCATTTTAATGTATTTCATCATGAAATTTACACACATGTGCATTACATCTCTGGGTTTTTTAAGAATTTTTTGAAACATAGAAGTATGATTTTTGATTTGTCAAAATTTAGGCTCCATGGAGCCTGAGTTCCATTTAGCATTTCATCTTGCATGATCCGGTTCCTGGTGCCTGCATAATTTCTAATGCATCTACCCAGGTCACATGAGCACAAATCGGTCAGGTGTTTACATCCTTGCTTGCCAAACTGTCTTGTGATGTTTGTGCAATTGCTCTTTTTTATGTGTTTAACACTTAACAATGATTAAGACTGCTCTTAGTCTTCGAATCATGTAACTGCAGAACAACCATACGTAGCTCCAAGCCCTGTGAACCTGCCACATCCACTGGATTCAGGTTTACACCCAACCCGAGTCCAAATATGCCCGATGCAAAAATGTATAGTTTTTGCCAATATGCTCGAACATACTAGCTAAGTTTGAGTGATTTAGAATAATCCAGTACATCAAAGATCAAGTAGACTATAAATCTAGAACTGGGGAGGAATAGGGCATAGCAGAGATGACAAGCTACGAACTAAGAATAGGAAGAAACTAAAAATAAAAGAGAAGCCACACACCATCCCCTCCTTTCTATTTGTATTACTCCCTCCATTCACTTTTGTAAGGCATTTTAGACATTTAAGACAGCACCTAAAACAGGTCAATTTCAGCTGTCTTAAACGACTTACAGAAGTGAACAGAGGGAGTACATAAAAACAATAAATCAAATCAGGGGACAATAGGGAAATTGATATACAGGAAGATCGCATCCACTCCTCACACGAACAGAGCTACAAACACACTGATAATCAAGGTGTTGACATTGCAGCAAACTGTGCCTGATTCCTCGCGTGCTCCTGTGATTGAGAATTTGCTTGGGCGCATGGACTCCTTTGCTGAGGAATGCCAGCACTATGAGAATGACAACATAACAATGCCAGCATTATATGGATTGCAACGTAGGCCAGGACGGCGATGATCAGCGCGGCGACATACACAGATGTCTTCCACCCCCTGCTGGATCCTGCTGCGTATGCCACTAGTAGGGCGAGCAAATCCAGCACAATCGTTGTGTTCATGACCTTGAGCGACCATTCTTTATTCTTATTCAACCACTGCGGCAGCAACATGACGATGACAACAATGGACGCCACAAAGGAGGTGGAGTTGCTGTAGAAGAAGGCAAGGTACCGGGGCCTCCTGTTGTCATGCATGATCGGGTTTCCTGCATCATACCAACTGCTGTCGTTCTGCCAAGCTCCCCCAGGCGGATCTAGACCAGCCTGGTAGGTGACACTTGCCACAAGGATTCCTAGCAGCATCAGATATTTGCGCTTGGCATGCTTTGCCTTTCCTTTTTTGTCAGCATTTTCTTGCTTCAGTTCACTGACCATATCTTTCTTATCCAAGAACACTAGGAACAGTACAGCTATGACAAAGAGGACCACAGCCCCCAAGACAAAGATGTAGATGGATGTTTTCAGATGCTGAGTGCTTCCGGCAGCATAAGCCCCTATCAGACCAAACATGCCCGCCGCCGTGCAAACAGCGAGTGCGTAACTTCGTATGGCTGGCCTGTATAAATGGGGGTTCACGAGCAATATAATGAGGGCGATGGACAGCATGAAGCTCACCGTATTGCAGTAGAAGAAGGCTTTGTAGCGGCGGGGAAAGTTGTACAAGAGAACCGGGTCCCCTGCCTGGTGCCCGCTGGATCCATCATCCTGAAGCCGGAAGCCGCCCGGAGGTGTCAACCCTGCTTGGTAACTGATGGTCGCAGCTAATACTGCGAAAAGGAGCAACCGCTTGCGCCTCTTCTCCACGGACTCAATTTCCTCAGCAGTGCTACGGCGTGGTTCAGTGTAAAGAAGACAACATGGATCACTACATAGACCAGGACGGCGCCTGCCAAGGCCATGGCGTAAATGGAGGTGGTCAAGTCCCGAGAGCTTCCCGCAGCATATGCTCCGATGAGGCCAAACAAGTCCAGTATCATGGCTGCCTGGAGGACATGGGTCTGGAGCATAACCTTGCTTTGTACCAGGATGATGGCCACCAAAGAGGCTACGAAGGCGACGGAGTTGCAGTAGAAGAAGGTCTTGTACCGCTTAGCGTTCACTGTGAGGAGGATCGGGTCACCAGCCATGTGCCCGTTCCCATTATCCGGCCAGACGCCACCGGGAGGGTCCAGCCCCGCTTGGTAAGTGATGGTTGCTGCAAGAGTGGCTAGCAACAGTACAAGGGAGCGAGCCTGATCCGCTGCCATCCTATGTAATTGGGGAGCAAAAGAGGTCATTTAAAGCCAATGATTTTCAGAGGAAGAAGAATAAGAAAAGGGATGTGCTCCCGTAGTACCTGCTGTCATTAGTCTCCGGACCTGGAGCTATTGTTATTGCTTTTGGCAAGCTCCAGCATGAGTCTCCGGACCTGGAGCGTTGGAAGCTTTTGATTTTGGTCCAGAACCAGGTACTTGCAGCTTGTATGGTATCTTGAACAAATGCAACTTGAAGCAATGCCATGAATGCCAGGACGGCAATAACCAGGCTGCCCACATAGAAGTTGGTGTTGGTCTCCCTGCAGCTGCCGGCCGTGTATGAGGCGATGAGGCTGATCAGCGCGACAGCGATGCACCAGTATGCCCCAGTCACGCGAGGCTTTCTGTCCAGAAGCACCACAATGACGAGCAGTGACGCAACGAACGCGGTGGTGTTGAAGTAGAGGAAGACCCTCAAGCGAGCTCCATGGCGGTCCTTGAGAATCGCGTCGCCTGGCCGGTGACCGTTCTCGGTGTTGTCCCAGAAGCCACCTGGCGTGCTCATACCTGCAACGTACGTGACGCTCACTGCAAACGTGGCGAGCAGCATGAGGACCTTGCGGAGCCGTTTCTCTTGCACAGGGTCATTGTACTCGTGGTCGTGCGAGAACGAGGCCAGCACCATCTGGAAAATGAGGTAGATGAGGACGGCAGCCACCAGTACCGAGGAGTTGATGGTGGTGGGCGTGTCCCGGCAGGTCCCAGCGGCGTAGGCCCCCATGACGCTCATCAGGTCCACCACCATGACCACCCGCAGCGGCAGGAGGCGGAGCTGCTTATTCTCTTCCAGGAGGGTGAGGAAGAGGACGAGGACGATGATCACGAGCGACGAGGCAAACGCGGCGGCGTTGCAATAGAAGAACACCAGGTACCGGCGGTAGCTGGTGGTCCGGATGATGGAGTCGCCGGCGAGTTGGCCTGAGGCGGCGACGGTCTCCTGCCAAACGCCCCCAGGCGGGTTGAACCCTGCGGCGTACGTCACCGTAGCCACCAGCGTTGCCAGCAGCAGGATGTACTTGCTCAGTTCCAGCATGAGCTTGTAGCTCTCGATCACCTCCTTGGGCTGGCTGCTTCCATTTGCTGGAGGCTGATGATACTGGGGCTGGCTGTTTTCATTTGTTGGATTGGGGGCTGGAGGCGGAGCTGGATGATCCGGCTCGGGGCAGTCAATTGTGATCTCAGTTGGGCTGTTCTGGCGTGCTGGCTCGGCCTCCATTTGCACAGAAAAATGGTGCCTCAAGGTTCAACTTTTCGACGGAATTAAGGACAAGACTGAATCTGTCTCCGGTATATAGCTGACCCGGCAAGCTTGCTCGTCAGCATGACAACCTGGTATAACGTCATAAATAATTATAAAGGAGGAAAGCAAAAGAAAGACGGTATTGCAGCCAAATTTATCATTATACATGGTGTCGTTGGATCAGCATCTGACGGACATATTTGTGTTATGAGGTAGCTGGTTGCCAGTACAGGCGGAACCTCATCGCCGTTAACAAATGGGGTGGCCGGAGAGGGACTCGTGGTAACGGTATTGTCGCCGGTCCCCGGCCCGCTTCATCATTCTGATATGAATGTCCCCGCTTCATCAGTAATGGGGCGTGGGGAAGATGGTGACACGCCACGACAGGGCCACTCGTTTATGCGCCACGAGGGAGGGTGCAGACACCGGATGTTGAATCCAGATAAGGTACAGCCATTCGACAAACTGCGTAGTAACTTTCTTGTGGTTTTATACAGGGGCAATGTACTGGAAAAAGCTAGAGTGCTAGTACTCACTTGTTCAGAACAACAGAACGTGGAGCAGGATATGAGTCGCATTCTCGACAGTGCTGTTTGTCCCCGAGGGATATGATGCACCTCACACCTCAACGCCAGGGTTCAAGTCATTTCCAGTGTGAATCTATGTGCATGTTCAACGATAAAACATCGTGTGCAATCAATGAAAACAAATACCGTGGCTCTTAAAATATGCTATTAAGGTGTTGTATCATGCTGCAACGTGCTATTAATAAAACATTGTACACTAATTTAGTTAGCGAGACATTACTCAAAACGCTATAGCGTGCTAGTAGCAGTGTTATAGCGCACTATTTTTTTGTTTCACTGCACGCAATGCATATTCGTAAATTGGGGAATAGCATGCATGGCTGGACTTTCTACATTGCACTATTCTCGGTGACAGTACTTGAGTTGCTTTCCATGTCTTTATGAACATGTTTGGTTGCCTCCAGCCGTTTTGACCTCTTTACATCTGTGGCTCAGTAGAGCTCTGGCCGAGATACTACCAGTTTTGAACCATGTTTTGCATTTTCGTTTGCCTGCTTGCATTGCATCATGAGATCGTTTGACACATACTTCCTCCCCCTGCTGCTCGTCGGCGGGTCCGGGGCGGGCTGTGGCCCTTCCTCCTGCGCCCCGTCCCCGCAAGTTTGCTCCTGGTGGGAGGGGGCAGCCTTTGGCTGCAGCGGTGCCCGATGGAGGCTGGATCCGGGTTTCTCGTCGTCGGTGCAAGTTCGGTAAGAGCTCGGCTGTATCTCCTGGGTTGGGGATTCTGGGAGCCGCCCCTGATGGGGAGCTTGGTGGCTCCCCATCATCCTCTTCCTCCTGCGGTGATTCCCCGGCTGCCGCGCCGCCGCCGGCGGTGCTTCCGGGGAGGTTGGTGCCGCTGGTTTCGCTTGACCTAGATCTGGTGGCCGCTTCGTTGGTTAGTGGGCCGCTGGCTGGCCCCTCTGGTGGGCTTGTTGGGCCTCTCGCTGCTGTCCCACCAGGTGGGCCCTCTATTCCCCCACTGTCGTCTGTCGTCGATTTCCCCCCTCTAGTATCTACTGGCCCAGTTATGGCCCCCGCTTTGCTGCCTGCTTCTTCCCCTTCTTTGGCCCATTCCACCTGTCGGGCCCAGGTGGGTACGGTTTCGTCCGGCTATATATGGATTCCCCGTGGCTCCTCCCCCCTCTGCTAGGTTTTCCGGCTTCCGCTGCTGATCTGCGCCGCCACCGCTTTCCCATCCGCCGGCTCGTCAGATCTAGCCCTCCTCCTCCCCTTCTCCTCTCCTTTGCTGCGGTGCTCACCATGGATAAGTCTCGGGGCTCGTCGTGCGAGGCTGTCTCGAGCAGCAAGCGGCCGCGCGAGGAGTCGCCTGCGTCTGCGGTGGATCTGGAGCTTGAGGCCGAGCTCCGCTCCAAGCTGGAGGCGGAGCAGGCGGCCCGCGAGCAGGTGGCTCGTGACCGTGCGGCCTGGGCTGCGGATCCGGATTGGTCGCAGCGCTCGGAGCGGGGGCGCGCCCCTGGCTCTGGCCCTCCGCGATCTGGATCTGGTCCCTCTCCTCCTCCTGTGGTGGATCCATGGGAGGCGGCGGCGGCCTCCGGTGGTGGGGGTTCTTCCTCCTCGGGCTCCTTGCCTGTGCTTGGCGCGGGGCGCGGCGCGCCTACCCCGGCGCGTTTCCCCCCTCCTTCTCGTCCGGCTGGTGCGGGCGTGGGGTCCCGCCCGCCGCCTCCGTCCTTCGTGGGGGCGGCGCGGCGTCCCTTCGGTCCTCTCCCTGGATCTTCTTCTTCGCCGGTGGTGGGGGACGGGATCCTGCCTCCTCCTCCTTCCCTCCCACATCCCCGCCCTCCGTCTGCCTCCCACAGCAATCCATTTGCGCTCACCTGCTTCGCCTGCCACAAGCCTAATCACTTCCAATCTCGCTGTATCAACCCTCCGTTCTGCCTGATTTGCCGCACTGATGGGCACCTCACGGTCAACTGCTCTAACAGACCGAAACCTTCCTTGCTCCTCCAGTTTGGTACTGGCCTCCCCGGCTGCGCTTTCTTTGCTTTTGATAGTGATCTGCCTACCCTGGAGGTGGCCCCCTCGCTTTCGAATGCTGCTATTGTTTCTGTGAAGGACCAGAAGATTTCTCCCCAGACTTTACTCGATGGGCTTCGTATCTGGGACAAGGCTGGATGGGACTGGCAAGTGGCCCAGATTTCTGATCATGAATTTTCAGTTGTGTTTCCCTCCAAGGAATGCCTGCGGATGATTGCTTCGTGTACTAGTTTTACCCTCCCCCTCAATCAACTGGTCGTCTCGGTCAAGCCGGCAACTTGCAGTGGTACGGCTGTCGGCCCTCTTTCTTAGGTCTGGGTTTTGATTGATGATCTACCAGCTGGGCTCCGCTCGTCTGCCTTTCTCATGGCGGTGGGGGGGTTCTAATTGGGAAGCCCGTGGAGGTGGATTTGGAATCTCTGAATAAGGTTGGCCCAGCAAGGATGAAGATTTGGTGTTTGGATCCGGGTCATGTTCATGGATCGGTCGATGTGTTCCCCTCTCCCAGCGGTATCAGGCTCAGGGTGCGGGTGGAGGGGGCGGCTGCCTATCAACCCCCTCCTCCCCTTCTCCTCCTTCTAATCCCACGGATAAACACGATAAGGACGAGGATGGATCTTTGGGTGGTAATAACCAGAGTGATGGCTCCAACCTTTGTTTCACCCAATCTAAATGGGATGGCTTGGCTGAGTCTGAAAGGGAGCTGTTCCAGTCTCAAGCTCCTTCTGGTGTTGCCCCTCGGGATACTATGGCGATTCCTCCTGCTGCTTCCATGGGTGTGGCTCCTGATGTTGCTTCTCTGAAGATCCCGCCTATGTCGGCTACCCCCAAGTCTGATGCTTGCTCCAACCTCCTGGCTCGCCCGATCTCTCCCACCCGCTCCAGGATTGAGGATCTACCTGCCTCCCCTGAGCGTGATGCGGTGGGTGCCCAGTCTCAGAGGAAGAAGTCTTCGGTGCGCAAATTCTCGGCTAAGAGCAGGAATTCGCTGGGCTCAAAACAATCCATGACTGGTGTCTGCCGCCGTC